TTGGCTCTCCATCTGCAGCGTACGCTTCTATTGGGGTGAAAGGGAGACAGGTCCCCACATGTTCTTCACGCCACACTGTGCCATCTTTCGCTGTCTCAGTCCCCAAACAAGCTCTCTTTTTCGACTCTTGATCACTCTTGACACTCCTCTGTATCAGAATAATGTCTGATCAATTGTGATCAAGGGTATATATATGATACAATCTCACTGCACTTAGCCTAATCCTTCATTGCCCTGAAGAATTCTGTGGTGTACGGACCTCCTCTCCAAGGAAAGAAAATGCAGAGGATACAGAGGAGGAGATACTGGAATTATAATTAGTATCTATGCATGCATTTGTGATTTTGTTTGACCTTCCAATTGCTCACAATTTAATTTAAAGCGAGTTAGCTAACATCAGCAATCACTCACAATCCTGGCACTGCCATGGTATCTGTAGTCTGCATTTACCACATGTGTATCTGTAGCAGTGAACACATCGCACAGTGGCCTGATTTTTCTTGCATTTGTGTTTGACCTGACACATGGCTCTTTTTCCAGGGCAACCCGTCACACACAGCGACACCACTGATCAAAGACCACTGATCAATTGTGATCAAGGGTATATATATGATACAATCTCACTGCACTTAGCCTAATCCTTCATTGCCCTGAATAATTGTGTGTAAAAGGGCTATGGAAATAACAATTTACATTATCTGTAGTCTGCATTTACACATATGGTAAATGCAGACTACAGATACCATGGCAGTGCCAGGATTGTGAGTGATTGCTGAAAATGTTGCAGTACTCACCGCTTTTTATTATTATTTGTAAATATGTGTACAAATGGTTGGTTTTTTGTACTGTTTTTATCAATAAATGCTCAGCAACAAAGGACATACACCCATGTGTGTTGATTTCTCCCTAAGATGGCAAACTGAAACACTCCACTCCCCCCCCCCCTCCCTCCAGAATTCCTACTTAACAGCCTAATATACATATGAATGACTAGCCAATTTAGCTTCCACTTCCAGCATTTGACTGCTCTCCGGCTTTTAAAGGTAGAATCCAAAATGATGCTCCGCGGGGGTTTAAGTGTTTTAATGTTTTCTTTTGCTGTAAACCTGCAATATGGCTCGTCTGTGAAGCACTTTGTTGTACCTGTGACTTTTAAATGTGCTATAGAAATAAAATTGAAATTGAAATTGAAATTGAAATTAATGTTCACAACTGCTACGAGTACGATGAGTTCTAAAACTGGACTGAAACACGTCAAATAAATTTAATTTAATTCAGTTCAAATTTATATATAGGCCAAATCACAACCACAGTTGCCCCAAAGGGCTTTGTTTTTTTTAATATATATCAGAAGAGGGGTTTTTTTGTGTAAAAGGAAGATTGAGACACGCCTATAATTAGTTGAGTTCTTTGAGCAGTCTTGTAGGAATGGGGTTTAAAAGACACGTTGATGGTTTGGAGGAAGTAATTACTGAAGATCAATTGGAAAAAGGGTGTAAATGTCAGTGGTACTGAAAGTAGCGATACATAATGTAACTGTCTGTGAGACGGTTATATATTTTTTTCTCTAATGGTTAACATTTTATTTCTGACATAAAATATAATATAATGAAATCGTTACTATAATCATAACAATCTTACTACGTGTGTGTGTGTAGCACTTGGTAAAGTGTAAAGCTAAAATAGGTCTAAAACATTGCATAAATCCGTTGGTATTTGGGCTATTCGGCATGAGCCCCCGCATCCTCAGGACCTTCTATCACTGTGCCATTGAGAGCATCCTCACTGGATGCATCACCACCTGGTATGGCAACAGCACCGCCTACAACTGCAAAGCTCTCCAGCGAGTAGTGCGGTGCTCTGAACGGATAATTGGAGGTGAGCTTCCCTCCCTCCAAGACATCTACAGGAAGCGGTGCCTGAGGAAAGCGGGGAGGATCATCAAGGACTCCAGTCACCCCAGCCATAAACTGTTCAGACTACTTCCATCAGGAAGGAGGTTCTGCAGCATCCGGTCCCGTACCAGCAGACTGAGAGACAGCTTCTTCCACCAGGCCATCAGACTGCTGAACACGTCATAGACACCTCAGCTTCACTACTGGAACTTCAACATTATGCACTCCACACTGTATATAAATGCCACTTGTTTTGCACATATTCAACTCTGTATATTTTATATATTATTATTATTATTTTTTTTTTTTTTTTTACTATTTAATTTGTAAAAATGTGTATACACACACACACACACACACACACACGTAGGAAAATATTTAGTATACACATCCAGAAATGCATACACTATTATATATTGTACATATATTTATTAGTTTCAGGTTGGCCATTCTTGTATTTTGCTCGTTTGTGTTGTTGTGTTTGCACATCTCTGTTGCTTGTGGGGCTCGCACACAAGAATTTCACTCGAATAATAATAATAATAATTTAATTGTACATAACTATAGTTATAATATATAATATCACATTTAGATAAATGTTGTTAGTCACACTAACTAATAAAAAATAGTTTAATTTATCTAATAAAGTAATACACCCCCCTCAGGAAACAAACCCCTCCAAGCATTTGGGTCATTTAAATCAGATGATGCTCTCCTCCAGTTACAGGACTGTTTTGATCTGACAGACTGGTCCATCTTTGAACAGCAGGACCTGGAGACCTCCTCTCAGTCTGTCCTAAGTGCTGTGTACAGAATGGGACATTTAACAGAACCATCCAGGTTTTTCCTATCCAAAAACCTTGGATTACAAGTGAAGTACAAGCTCTGATCAGAACTCAAAGCTTTGCGTTCAGGCTGAGGGACAGTTCTCTATACAGCACTGCCAGAGCCAATCTGAGGAGGGGTATCAAATAGGCTAAGGAGGCCTACAGGAGAAAGATAGAGGATGAGGAGGATAACTTCCTCACAGACAACAATCCCTGCCAGGTGTGGCGAGGTATCCAAGCCCTTGCCAGCTTCAAAAGGCCAGAGCCCAAAACCCCAATAGCAGCCTCGAACCTGTAGCAGCTCAACACCTTCTTTGCTCTATTTGAAAACACTGCTCGCCCACTCACCATGTCCCCCACCTCACCTTGACCCAGCCGCCCCCGCAGGAACATGAGGTCAGGAGAAGACTGAGAGTGGTGAACCCTAATAAAGGAGAGTAGGTGTAGAAGTAATAGGAGAGCTGCTGGCCCCAATTGCATCCCAGGGGCTCTGGTTCAAGCCTGCACGGATCAGCTGGCAGGTATCCTTACCAAGCTGTTCAGACCCTTCCTGACTCTATTCCCACCTGTCTGACAGCCTCCACCATTATTCCCATCTCCAAAAAGACTAGAATAGACAGCCTCAATGACTACAGACTTATAAGCCCTCAAATCTGTAGTCATGAAGTTTTTTGAGCAGATAGTGTCTACCCCCTCCCTCCACCCCCAGCTTACAGAGAAAATCAGTCCACGGAGTGATTCACCAGTTCAACAACACCCTTCACAGAGTACTGACCCATCTGAAGAACAGGAAGAGCTGTGTTAGAAAGCTTGTCACGGACTACAGCTCACCATAATCCCAGACATCCTCACCACCAAACTGGAGAAAGATTTCCTGACACCAGCATCAATCAGTCAGACTTGCCCCCCATGTCTGGGGGGAAACGTGGGGGGCAAGTCCCCACTGTCACTCAGCACTGGTGTCGTTCTCAGCCCCCTACTGTATGCCCTACATATATGACTGTACAGCAACCCACCCAACCAATGTCATTGTCAAGTATGCCGATGACACCACTCATGGGCTCATCCTCTGATGGAGGTAGAGAACTTGTCCCACTCGCGCTCAATAACCTCAGGCTGAACATCCTCAAAACAAAAGAACTCTTAATGAACTTCAGGAGGCACAGACAGCTCCACTCCCCTCTCATTATAAATGGAGAACAGGTGGGATGTGTCTCTGTTTCAGGTTTCTAGGCATCCACATCTCCACTGATCTCACTTGAACAAACAACACCAATGCCCTGGGAAAGAAGTCCCAGCTGCAGCTGCCATTCCTCTGTGTCCTGAGGAAGAATAACCTGGATCAGAAGCTGCTGCTGGCTCCTCAGTGGAGAAAGTGCTATCCATCTGCCTGGGTTTTTGCTACGCAGGGGCCACAACTGAGAACAAGAAGGCTGCGCAGAATGTTAGCATTGCCCAAAAAATCAGTGTCTGCCCTCTGCCACCCCTGGAAGCCCTCACCAGATCCTCCTGTCTCAGGAAAACGATGGCCATCAAAGGTGATGCCCTTGCACCCCGCCCACCACCAATTGGACCCAATGCAGTCTGGTTGGCACCTCGGGTCAGTCAGGTCCCACACCTCCAAACTTACCAACAGCTTCTTCCTGAGGATCATCAAAAACACTATCCTCTCACACCCCAACCCTGCCCACCCACTTCACCAATCTGAGCCATGGTGTGAGTAACCCCCATCACTCAGACCACTCACTTATTTTTGTATATATTTCTCTTAATTGTATCTATTTCTCCTGTTTCCTATTTATTTCTATATTTTATTCCATCAAAGTCAGTGTGGAGCACCCACAGTTTTGTTCTACATGTACAGTGACAATAAAAGGCTGTTCTAATCTATTCCATTCTATATGAGAGTTTTGTTATATTGAGGGCAAAAATTGTTGAAAGAAGTAATTATTATAGAACAAACACATCATCATCCTGCTTAAGTTTAAAAACCTTATACTCTCAAAATCCACTAGAAACCAACAGAAATATGACAATACTACCTCAGAACTGAAAGATAATAAAAGATGAAAAATGAAGTTTTAGAAATCTATTAACGTTTATACAGTTATCCAGTAATCAGAGATATAGTTCATATTCAGTGTGATGGGAAAGATTTCTGTCATCCTTGTACTGAAGATTTCTTCCGTAATGGTTTTGTGACATGCACGATTGTAATAAGTTGTTTCTTTTTTTTCTTTGTTCTCTTTCACCACAAAAGTAAACATATGTAACTAACCTCAAGCGTCCATCCTCTGCTGCAGCTCCTCCAGGGATGATCTTGGTAATGAAGATGCCGGGGTCATCACCAATATGGGGGTTATCTGTCCCTCCAGCGATGCTAAAGCCCAACCCTGAGTTACCCTGCGGTCATGAAAATCTCATTGATACCAAAGCAGAACCCATTTTGTATAGTGTGGTCAAAAAATGTTTCTTATCCATTCACTTTTCTAATTCTCAGTTGTTTATGTAGCAACTGAGGAGGCTTCCCCCGGAGTATATCTACCACTGCAAATGTAATGAATTAATCATCTCTGAATGACAATACTGTATTCACAAGGAAGCAGGTGAACAATGTCTCTCAGAGAAGACAGGCTTAAACCATTTCTGACAGGGCTTTAGTAAACAGAAGACAGATAAACTGAAAGGTCGGGTGCATTTCTCGGGTCATGTATCAGGTTGTTGGCCTTCACAGGACGTGACTTTTATATCTTGTTCATCTGCTGTAGATAGTTAATTTTGTTTTCACATCTGTTTTTCCTCTGTTTTTTTTAAGGACAAGGTGTACAGCGTCCCAAGATATGCCAAGTTTTCGAGTAAATCAACACCTTTGTGAAAAATACAGGCATTAAAAATGTTGTTTAATGTCTGTTTTTGCTCAATTAACTGAAGAAATTGCAACAAATTTGGTGCTTTGGTGAAAAGTGCTAGCACTGAAGTTCCCATAATTTGAAAAATTGTTGTCTGTTTTCAAGTTGTCCCATTCACAAACTTGGGTTTCCATGCATGGGTGACAACAATACCCCATCAGCCTTTAACAGGTGAGGGGTAATTAAGTGCAGGCCTATGTGAATACAAATCTTCTGTCTGTTTTTATCCCTGTGCCCTCCTCAGCTTTTTCTCCCTTTGACATCTTCATGGAAAAAAATGTACTTGTACAAATTCTGACTAGAAATCCTGATACAACAATATTTCTTTCTGCATTTTGTTTAATAAGGGTTTTAATCAACTTGAGTCTTTATATAAAAGACGATTCAATAATTTTCAGGATTTTAACCCTTTAAATTCCAATTTAAACATTTGAACTTTTTTTGTTTTTTCCAAAAAACACACAAACACTTATTATTTATTAGTGCCAGATACGCACTCTGGATACCTTCGTGGACAAAAATGCCCCATTCACTTTAACTGAAACTATCTCTCTGCCACTGCAGTATAAAAACATGCATTCTATAATGTCTGCATTTCATTTTGGAGAAAAGTACTGATATCTGACATTTTTTCCATTGCAGGTCGAATAATGAAATTACTGTATTATTGTACAGGTGGCCAAAAGAATGATTGGTGTGGATGTGTACGAAATCATTTTTGAGGTATTAGGTGGTGTGTGTGTAAATGGCCTGCATTTGTATAGCACTTTACTTAGTCCCTAAGGACCCCAAAGCGCTTTACACTAGCGCTGTGGGTGAGTAAGTGCATGCATGTGAGTGCCAGTGTAAATCTGTATTAATTTCAGTGGTGACTAAAGGTCATCTTTGCGGGATATGTTGGATGTGTCTTTGAAGAGGCATTTGAGCAACTCAATGTGCTTACACATGGCCCACATACCGCAAAGAATGACGGCCCTTTGGTGGCCCAGATCTGGTTTGCCAGAGGTGGCCCACACATGGGCCAGCACAAGGCCAGCTGCAGGCTGGTGGTCCTGTGTTGGCCCATTTGTGGGTCACCTCTGGTAAACCAGAACTGTTAAACGTAGCACAAATGTTTGACATCAATTTTGTTTGATTCCATTAATGTGGGGGGGCTGGTTGACCTCTGATGACCTCTAGAAATTGACCTCACCCAACAGCGTGTACATGGGCACGTCGTCAGGAGCTGGAAGCAGATGGATTCAGAATATGCAGGCTTCGTAAGTCTTTGACCAGAATTCACTGAACCAGCAGCAAAATAGAAATGTATGGGTCTATTTATTTATTTAATTATTACAGTGATCCCCCCCCCCCCAAAAGAAAAAAAAACACTTTGGAGAATGAGCTACCAGAACTTTTTCTGTAATTTTACACATTTAAATCTTACAATTTAAGTCCAAAGAGTTGTGCTGACAGATTTCTTTCTTTGTAATAGCAGTCAGCAGTGGCTATGCAGAAAAACAACAAAGTGGGCTGTGTGTATAATGACTTTGACATTCCCTGGTCTGGAGGTATCTCCCAGGAAGCACTTGATGTGTCCAATGTTGAGAAGACAGTAGTTACTGCTAGTTTGGGTGTGATGTACACATTACCTTCTCTCACCTCAGCCGGTCGCAGCAGATGGCCTTAGCTTTCGTCCGTCAGATACACAACAAAGCACTATTTTTGGTAGAGCATGCTAGCGGGCCGTCGTTATTACCGTGTTGTTTGGAAAATACGCCACACTTAAAATCAATCCTTTGATTTTTCTGAAAACCGACAGAGCCCCTTATAACCCCGTGTGCCTTATGTATGAACTCTGGTTGTGTTTACTGACCTCGAAACGATTTTATGTACACGGCGCTCGAAAATCTGTCAAATGTTTCAGTACGACTTTGCTGAGCTACGAACCCGCACCGCTTGATGGATTGTCGGAGCGTTACGGCTATCGTAGGCGGAGCCTCGCGGAGTGATACGTACTGTGCTTCAACATAATGTTACCGTACTGTGTGTGTATAACCTCTTTTTAAGTGTTGTGGATGTTATACATGGTTATGCTGAGGATATGTCGGCCAGTTTCCACTGGAAATGGCTTTTGGTTAAACTGTCAGCGAGGAATTTGCATTTGCACTGTTAAATTTTTATATAACTTTAATGCAGATAAAACAGCTGCTTGTTTAAGTGAAAATACATTGATGGGTTTTTCTTTTTTGCACTAATAAAGTTGTGGAGTTGTAAAGCATTTTGTCTCGTGTCAATTATATCTTCAGTTATATCGTTATCGCAAATTTTCAAATGTATATCGTGATAAATATTTTTGGTCATATCACCCTGCTCTAGTCTCCACCGCTTGTTTCCAGTCACAAGGAATCAGTACAACATGTTTCATTGAATGTATTCTCATGTAAAGTAAAATAGACAAAATGTCCTTTATGGTGTGACTCCTTTGTGAATAGTCACTATTGTGGAGCACTTATTTACACTTATTTATTCTTCTATTAAATGCAACATCAGTGCCTAGTAGAGCATTAAATCTACATGTATAGAATCATCCATCAAAGCTGATTAAAACTATTTAAACAAAGTTTAGTGACTTTGGCCCAAAATAAGATTCTAAAAAGCTGCAAAACTGAAATCTTATAAAAATAATCCACAAGCAGCGGTGATGTCACTGTGGCTATGTCCATTTTGTCTTATGGAGACAATAGTCAGGTCATCCCACATCAATTCATCAATTGTATAGCTCATAATATATACAAAATTAAATCTACAGCCTTAGCACAGATCTTTTTACAGGACAGGAACAATGTTTTGACTTTCCTGTATTATTCCTTTGCTTCTCAAAGACTAGTTTACTTCACCCTCACAGTCTGATTAGATGGATCTAAGATACTCACCCGCTCTAAGGTGATTTCTTCAAACTCATATTCAATTTCTGTGCCGTTGACCTGAGGAATGAAAAAACTGAATGAAGACACACACTTCATAGTTTCAGTCCACATTGCCTTAAATTACATGGATGATGTTAAGTGTTGAGGCCGAGCTTAAACTGAATGTGACGAGTGTTTCTCAGGGAAACGTGTAAAGTAGAGACTGTCTCATGGACAACAATTTATGATTGGTTATCAATGTAACTATTTTTTTAATATGGAGGGTCAACTACTGAGGGGTCAGTCTCATCTAGTACTTTACTTAATAAAAGTAAAGTGAAATAAAACTTAATAATAAATTATCAGGGAGTAAGTCTGTCTCTACTTGAGTAACCTAACAAGACAATCAGGAATAAACATTTAAAAGATAAATTCTCTCACATAAGGAAGCGACTCCAGAGTGTCTGTATTGATGATCATGGGAGCAGGGTTGGCCTGTAATGAAGACAGATAAGGAGAAAAAGTGAGAAACTTGAGTTTTACAGAAAAACCATCAATCATGACTGTTCATACATTTACAGTTTGGGTGCTGACCTTGAGAGGAGAGATGTGAGAATGGGACACGTAGCCGTGCACATTTTCAATCTCTGACAGGTTCTTCTGTGAAACATGGACCAGCTCAGGAGCGCGAAGCCCACTGGTGAGCTGTGGGAATCCCTGGTCAAGCAGGGGTGAGTCATCTTCTTGGTAGTGATACTGCAAAGAGTGGAAAGGGAACAAAGAGAAAGACAAATGATTGAGAGTTTAAAACAGGTCACAGGTACAGGAGAAACATCAGACTGATGTTGTTTTCAGGAATGACGGGAGATATCACAAAAACAACTAGTCTTGATCAACTTTAGCAAATTCATATTTTGGAGATTATGTATCTGAATTTCAGGAGCGGGACCTCCAAACACGCTCCTTCTGGTTGCCATCTACAGAGGTTCCCCCAGTTCTGTAAGCTGTCGTTTTCGTTAAGTGCCCCATCCTCCCTCCCTCCCTCCTTGTTCTCATTTCGTTAACTTCCTCACTTCTATTTAAACACGGGGATCTGCCAGGCCTGGGAGCCGTCGCCAGTCTCCTTCGAGGCCTTCCCCAAACCGCAGCTCACTTCATGTCCAAGCATCACCTTTACCTACTAAAACAGTGTCAATCCTAAAATGAGGACGTGGGCCCAGCTAGTTCATTATTTTGAATATTTGTTTTTGTAAGCATAAATATTGCAAAAATGCTTAAATATTATGACCTTAAAAAGAAAGATGATTATTAAAAAGACAGTTAATCAAAATGAAACTACACACCCGCTTTAACAGTAGAGTTCTTTTAAGATTCTTCACAGATTTTCTTCTGGAAAAAATAGTGTTTTCAACAAAAGAGGGGATTTCAAGCTGTGACTTACTGAAACTCCAACCTTCTCTTTTAAAACAGTGAAAAACAATGCAAACAAAGAGTAAAAAGCTTTGAGTTGTAACTAAAGAGTGTAATTTCTAATTTGATACAGCAACATATTTCCAAACTGTTAAGACTGGGGCAACCTGGTGGATCATTTAAGTAATGTGGGTCATGATGTAGTATAATAAAAATCCATAAGATGTAAAGATGGAGAGGGGTTCATGATTGGTACAGCCAACAATAAGCCCGTATATAAATGCAGTGATAGTGGTAAGACCAAAGAGTTTATGGGCACCAGCAGTAGCTCTTAAGTGGAGTCTAGACACAATAAATGACAAATCTCCTGTCATCTTTGCATGAACAGCTAATACTGTAGCTCAGGAGGCAAAGGAGCTTGCAAAGAAAAGCGTCTGGACGTCTTTAAGTTGCTTGAAGACGTTTCACCTCTCATCCGAGAAGCTTCTTCAGTTCTAAGGTCAAATGGTGGAGAGTCCCAGATTTAAACCTAGTGGGAGTTTCCCCCCACAGAGGGACAAAAGGTATGATCTGGGGTGGGAACTCAAAACTGGATTATAGATGGCAGTTTTGAGTTCCCTCCCCAGACGCCTTAACGCCCACTCACATCCTGGGCCATCTGACCTCAGGAAATCACATGATAAGGTGGGGCCAGGTTTCACAATGAGCTCACCCGAAACTCTGGCTGATTGGGACCCACACCCAGTTTCACACCTTAGAGGATCATCAGGGGGTCCTTTTGTCCCTCTGTGGGGGGAAACTCGCACTAGGTTTATATCTGGGACTCTCCACCATTTGACCTTAGAACTGAAGAAGCTTCTCGGATGAGAGGTGAAACGTCTTCAAGCAACTAAAGAAGTCCAGACGCTTTTCTTTGCAAGCTCCTTTGACTACGATGACCTGGATGACTGAGAACCTTCACAGACATGTAGCTCAGGAGCTTAAGCAGGTCATTCACTGATTGGAAGGTTGATGGTTCAATCCCCAGCTGCTATGAGCCAACAATGCTGAAGCACCAATGGGGTTATTAGGTACAACAAGTGAAACAACACTTTGGTGTGTGTATTGCTGTAGGAAAAACCGCGTGATCAATACAACTGCTCTGTTGTGCTTATTGGGAAGTGCAGTTGTTGAGTTTGCATTCATGCTGCGAGGAAACATCATCACCACAAGAGAACCAAAGAGAAAAGTCTTCTCGGTGGTCCTTTCACCCTTTTTTCTCCCCTCACGTACAGAAGCACAACAATTGTCACATTCACTTATATTTCCTAAATAAGACTTTGACTTGATGTTTTTCACTTATACTTCCTTTCAGAAATATGTTTGTAAATTCTGCATTTTACATACTGTATTAATCAATCGCAGAGTTTGGTTAATATGTACACACTTTCAAGCACTTATCTGCACGTCACACACGCAGGTGCGCCTTCATACATCGAGTTACTTATTGCACTGTTGTGTCTGTATCGTTCTGTTCTTTTTTATTTGCAATTTTTGCACACGTGCACTTTGTGTAGTCCTGTGTTGATTGTCATATGCAGCACTGTGGTCTTGGAGAAACACTGGCTGGCTTCACTGAGCACTGTATCACTGCACATGGTTGGAATGACATTAAAGCCATTTGACTTGACTCTTTCATTTAGTTAACGTTTTATCATCAGCTGGTTATGCCAGCGAGACCTTTCCTCACTCATTTGGTGTCCAGATGTCAGAATGAATGAACCTTCTTCACTCTCTCTCCACTCTCTTCATCCAGGCTGCCTGCAATATTTTTGTAAATCCAGCAGATGTCACTACTAAGCAACACACCAACACAGTGTTAACGTTGTGTTGACACAATAAGGGCAATATGCTACACACTCTATTGACCCATCACTAATGGCTGCTCTGGTCTCCAGTCTGCACGCTAAAATATTCAAATACTGATACTCTCCGATGCTTTCACTGTATGAATGTGTGTGACTGTTAGAAAGCATGTGAATAAGGCAAGTCACATAAAGTGTTTTGAGTTTTCAGAGTAGAAAATTGCTTTAAAGAACCCGTCCATTTATAATAGTTTGAAACAAATGACCACATACAGCATCATCACTGTAAATACTGTGTCAAAAGAAGTGCAGAGAATGAAGTGATTGCGTTATCACTGCCAGCACAGTGTACGCAATTTGGATGGGGTGAAAAAACAAAACAAAAGAGTTTCTCACCCAGGGCGTGTTCATCAGGGCAGGGTTCATGCAGGGCTGGGGCTGGCCATTGTGGGTTGGCTCATGTACTGCTGCCGGCCTGTTCTGGAGAGAGAAGGAGGACCATATGTGACCACTATGAGCAGACAGTATAGGTGAGACTTATTAACAATTCCATGAAGTGAATTCAATTTAATTTGATAAAAATTAAAATTCTTCCTTCTGTCTTGTATGCAAAGCAGCAAAAAGCTGATGCATATGCCCGGAGCTTACAATCCCAAGTCAATGTGATGACTTGCATTTGACTTGAACACCATTAATCCATATTTTATTCACAATAGAAGATAGAAAACATATCAAATGTTTAAATTCAGATATTTTACTACTCCATGAAATATATTAGCTCATTTAGTGACAGCCTCAAAAAAGTTGTGACAGGGATAACAAAAGGCTGGAAAAAGAAAAGGAACAGTTTGGGAAAAGTTTCATATGGGAACAGGTCAGCAGTGTGACTGGGTATAAAAGAGCCTCTTACAGAGAAAGAAAACAGAGACTCACCAACCTACAAAAAACTGCATTTGCAGATTGTGAAAAAAAAATCAAAAACTATGTTCCTCTGTGAAAAACTGCAAAGATTTTGAATATCTCAACATGTAGAATACATAATGTCTTTTTTTTTTCCTTTTTTTTTCTTCTTTTTTAGATGTTGATTAGGACACCTACCATATATTGATTTCAGCAGCTCTATAATCAAGCAGTGTCAAGTCTACTTTCAGAGACAATAGCCAACTGTGGCCATAGGATGGCAGTGATGTAAAGGATGGATGCAGACAGTCATGAGTACAGCTTTATGACAGAATGCTGTTTGCGCTGAAACAAGAGTGATTGCATTACTTTGGTATACTTTAACCGATGTCTGTTTTTTTACATTTAACTGGACAAACATTGTTTGCCTTGCTTGGCCTGACATAATACCATTAGACTCTCTTCACAAAGCATTTTATTTACCCATCTTCTGCAAATTCTCCAACAAACAACATTTCCCACTCTTAAGATAATTAAAATTTATCTGAATAGATATTTAGTGGCATTTGGCAAAGAAGAGGTACACACAAAGCTAGTGTTAGCTTTCGACAGGAAGGTTTATTCTTCCTCAATAAGATTATTCTAATCATGCTGATAAAACTAGAAACAAAAGCAAAGCTCTATTCAGTATTTTCCAATGACGAAGAAATGTACCAAAAAAACAAACAACTGCTTTATCACTTTATCACAGCACCTGACTCAGGTAAGGTTTCTGATTAACACTGCTCTCAAATGAGATTATGACTATAATGAAATGACTATGATATTTATTTTCCATTATCTGTTGTGCTTTGTTTAAATGTCAAAATTCACTGGGAAAATCTTTTTTTTTTTTTGCCTGTCCCGTTTGGCTCTTTTGCCATCAGAATTGTTGTCTAAAGGCAAAGAAAGATGCCCAACGGATTTACTTTACCAAATTGACCATCCCAGCCTTGCCATAATGGTCCATTTGATTCACCTTTTATTGTTTATTTTATTTTCACTTACTGAATACGGGACAGACTTGACTGGGGAAAGAAGGGTTAGGTTACATTCAGCATCTGATCCTTGTTGGCCTGTCTGCTCTGCTTTGGTAAGTATCCTTACCGAACTACAGTAACTGTAACGCAGTCACTATACATGCCATCCACTTTCTAACTACTGATTACTTCCTGCCAGTTATTTTAGATCCAACACTGCTTCTTCTTGTTCAAACAGCTGGACAGGAAACTACACCAGTGTACTGTTTCACCAACACGTGCCAGGCGCTGTTCCTGCCATTCATGGCTTAGCCCCGCCTACCTCAGGACCTCCCCTTGTCAAGTATTGATCATGATGATTATCATGATGACAATGAGCACAACTAAGACTGTAAAAGTCCACGACCATGACTGGTTTGCTGTCTCCTGATTATTAATGAATATCAGGAGGATGATTGTTAGTAAGAAATGATGACAAAAAACACAAAGTTCACCAAACTCACAGGTTACATTCATTTTGCTTTTTCTTCTTTACCAGCCACACTCTAACTGCAATTAAGAAAACAAACTTTAGAAATCATTGACTCAGTGACTTTATCAAATATTTAATGGGTTCAGGTAGAGCCAGCTTCTGCATTACCAAGAACATGAAGTGTGAGACAAATTTACTGAGACACTCTCAGTAAGTTTGATGGGCTGCTTGTCTTTCTGTTTGTAACCACTGCCATGCGTTTATGAAGTGGCTGTTTGGTCTCTCCAATGTAGAGCTCTGGACATTCCTCGCTGCACTGTACCGCATGCACTACATTCTTGAGTTTGTGTTTGGGATGAACCAGTTTCTGTCTGAGTGTGTTGCTGGGTCTGAAGTACACCGGGATGTCGTGCTTGGAGAAAACTCCCCTGAGTTTCTCTGATAAACCTGCTACATAGGGGATGACAATGTTGTTGCGTTTGTCTTTCCGATCCTCCCTAGTTGGTGTCTGACCTTCTTTTCTGTGCATCTTTGCTGATTTGATGAAAGAATAATTAGGATAACTGCATGTTTTAAAAGCTTCCTTTATATATGTGTGTTCCCTCTTTTCCCCTGATGGCTTCTTTCATGCCTCTTTCAAACCATCTTCTCCGGCTCTTTTAAAGGGACAGCACCTAGCCACTGGTACAGAGATGTTGAGGACGCCTGGGTCAAAATCAAAACCTAAGACATGGAATCCGTCACTGCTCACATCAACTCTGTGGATGTAACATAAAGTTGAACATAAAGTTCACCAGGGAAGACACAAAGATAACAGTTTGCTATTCCTGGACTCTGCTGTGCACAATGGGGAGAATGGAAACCTCAACAGTGAAGTTTAGCTGAAGCACACACACACAGACTAGTACCTCCTCTGTGACTCCCACCACAGCTGGACTGGCCGATGGTGATTTTTCATTTTCATGAGCCAATGGGGTTTTCTTTGGTTTTGTTTTTTGTAACGGCATGAACAATAAAAGCTGGTGGATTGGCCAGATGCTGGCAGATGTGTAAAAATAACTCAGTTGTTTGGTGGTGGCTATGGTGGAGCTTCCACAGAGGCAGCAGGTGGATGAGGGAAA